TTTAAAGTTTTCTTTCTTTCTTTCTTTCTAGTTGACTAGCTAGCTAGACATATTGACCTCTTAATATTCAACAATTACTATCTCCTGGTTATCTATCTATCTATCTATCTATCTATCTATCTATCTATCTATCTATCTATCTATCTATCTATGCCTTTATCTATTTATCTATCTATCTATCTATCTTGAATTTCATATCTACCTATCTTTGACTTTATTTCGATTTCATATCTATCTATCTATCTATCTATCTATCTATCTATCTATGCATTTGTTTGAATTTCATATCTATATTTTCCTTTATTTGAATTTTATATCTATCTATGCATTTATTTGAATTTCATATCTATCTATCTATCTATCTATCTATGCATTTATTTGAATTTCACATCTATCTATCTATCTATCTATGCATTTATTTGAATTTCATATATATCTATCTATCTATGCATTTATTTGAATTTCATATCTATCTATCTATCTATGCATTTATTTGAATTTCACATCTATCTATCTATCTATCTATCTATGCATTTATTTGAATTTCACATTCTATTCATCTATCCATGCATTTATTTGAATTTCATATCTATCTATCTATCTATCTATCTATGCATTTATTTGAATTTCACATCTATCTATCTATGCATTTATTTGAATTTCATATCTATCTATCTATCTATCTATGCATTTATTTGAATTTCATATTATCTATCTATCTATCTATCTATCTATCTATCTATCTATCTATGCATTTATTTGAATTTCACATCTATCTATCTATCTATCTATCTATGCATTTATTTGCATTTTATATCTATTCATGCATTTATTTGAATTTCATATATGTCTATCTATCTATTCATCTATTCTCATATCTATTATATCTGCATACTTTCTATATATTTTCTTTTCTATCTGCATTCCATGTATCTATCAGCATTCTATCTACCTATTTATCTATCTGCATTTCATCTATCAGCATTCTATCTACCTCTCTACTTACATTCTATCTATCTATCTATCTATCTATCTATCTATCTATCTATCTATCTATCTATCTATCTATCTATCACTTTGCATTATTTCTATATATACACTTTTAAATTTAACCTTTATTTTAAAGTTTTCTTTCTTTGTTTCTTTCTAGTTGACTAGCTAGCTAGACATATTGACCTCTTAATATTCAACAATTACTATCTCCTGGTTATCTATCTATCTATCTATCTATCTATCTATCTATCTATCTATCTATCTTGAATTTCATATCTACCTATCTTTGACTTTATTTCGATTTCATATCTATCTATCTATCTATCTATCTATCTATCTATCTATCTATGCATTTGTTTGAATTTCATATCTATATTTTCCTTTATTTGAATTTTATATCTATCTATGCATTTATTTGAATTTCATATCTATCTATCTATCTATCTATCTATCTATCTATCTATCTATCTATCTATGCATTTATTTGAATTTCACATCTATCTATCTATCTATCTATGCATTTATTTGAATTTCATATATATTATCTATCTATGCATTTATTTGAATTTCATATCTATCTATCTATCTATGCATTTATTTGAATTTCACATCTATCTATCTATCTATCTATCTATCTATTATCTATCTATCTATCTATCTATCTATGCATTTATTTGAATTTCATATCTATCTATCTATCCATGCATTTATTTGAATTTCATATCTATCTATCTATCTATCTATCTATGCATTTATTTGAATTTCACATCTATCTATCTATGCATTTATTTGAATTTCATATCTATCTATCTATCTATGCATTTATTTGAATTTCATATCTATCTATCTATCTATCTATCTATCTATCTATCTATCTATGCATTTATTTGAATTTCACATCTATCTATCTATCTATCTATCTATGCATTTATTTGCATTTTATATCTATCTATGCATTTATTTGAATTTCATATCTGTCTATCTATCTATCTATCTATCTATCTGCATACTTTCTATATATTTCTCTTTCTATCTGCATTCCATGTATCTATCAGCATTCTATCTACCTATTTATCTATCTGCATTTCATCTATCAGCATTCTATCTACCTCTCTACTTACATTCTATCTATCTATCTATCTATCTATCTATCTATCTATCTATCTATCTATCTATCTATCACTTTGCATTATTTCTATATATACACTTATAGAGTGGAAAAATGTGTAAAAAGCGAAGAAAATAAATAATTTTCAAACACAGCTCAACAAATTTAAATAATTTTATTATTGAGTACAAAAATAATTTTTGATTTCTCTTTATGCTGAAATGAATAAATTATAAAGTTCTTCGCCGACAAAATTCGTACGAAAAATAGTTTGCTTCTTTACGCTACAAAAGAAAAAAATTAATACGAAATACTTTTTATAACACAAAAAAAAATTTGTGTTAGTATAGGGTGAAACGTATGTGCGAGATTCTCACGAGCGAATCCAAAATCTACGATATGTTATGTGTGCGTAGAGTAAATATAAAATCATTCAGTCATTTGAGTATCAGCGTAAATACGATTTTGACAACTTAAAATACATCGTAATTTTGTCTATTTTTCTCCTGGGTATTTTCGTAATATAAACTGTGCCAACTGTTTTATGAAAATACTTTAAAAGCGAGAAATAATTTTCAATTGGAACTTTAGCACTCGATAAGATTTTTTGAGTTGACGAAAATTTTAGAAATTAGTATTGTTTACTTCACAGCATACGTATAATGAAGACTAGTTCATTAATTGAAGTTACGCTATTTATAGGAAAAATTGGGTCACATGAAGTTAGATCTTTTAAATTTAGAGGTTTTATTGGTTAATGAATATATTTCCAAATTTTTAATATTGTCCTTTAGGAGAGAAAAAAAACTTTTAATCATTATTCTGGATGTAAGCTTTTAATTTTTTTTTTTTTTTTTTTTGAGCACGCGAAACAGAAATGGTTGTCTGCTTTTTCAAAGCTTTGAGCTGCGTCTGCGACAACTTCGCTAATTGGTCAATAAATGGTAATGTGAAAATCTGAATTTGAGATTCAGGTTTTCCTATTTTTGCACAGAATTGAGATCTTAAGGATTCAACTTAAATCTTTTGATTTCTTTTCTATAATATTTTTTAACTGGGTTCTACACACTTCCGGCAACGCTCTATCACATTTCCAGGAGCGATCACTCACACGTCCGGTAATGATCCCTAATGCTTCCGGCAACGATCTCTCACACTTCTCGAAATGATAACTCACACTTCCGGTAATGATGCTTTACACTTCCGGCAACAATCTCTCACACTTCGGGTAATGACCCAGTAGATGCAAGCAGGCGTTGGAAATGGCTTCCAAAATTTAAAAAAAAAGAAAGAAAAAAGTAAAACACAATTGTGAGCTCAAGGACAAAGAACTCTTTTAAAAAAAACTGTAGAACCGTAAAGCTTCATTAACGATGATTCACAACATGGTGGGTAACAACACCTACAGCAGACAATTAAATCTCAAGAAGGTCACTAACTAATGGTGGACTTACCTAAGTAATGGTGGACTTACCTAAATAAGCAAAACCTTAAGGCAACAGACAATCAGGACTTCATTTTTTTAATTTTATCATTACGTTTTATGATTGACTAGCAGCATGGCCCGGCGTTGCCCGTACTTGATTCAAAAATCGTACGACTCATACAGCAATCGCTATCACTTGACTTAAAATATTTTTGCCCTTCCTTGCCTTCAAAGGAGTGCCCTTTGCCGTGCTGATGCTGCTACATGCCTTATTTCTTGCCTATCTCACACTGCGAATTTTTTCAAGCTCTATACTAAACATTAAATCTGTTACGAAAAAGAACTAAACAAAATGAACACAAAACGATCAGCTTTAAAAAAAAGGACTCGTAACTGGAAAACCGAATGAAAAAAGAATGTTAACAACAAATACTTTTTTTTCACACCCAACCCAGTTCTGCGGGATCAGAATCAACGTTGAGTTTAAGCAAGCGAATGAGCCAATTGGAGTAAAGTGCCATGCAGATTTAAATTTTTCCCACTTGTGACGAATGCATCTACTGATTTTTTTGCATGCTAGCATGCTAGTTAACATTCGTGTCATTCAGCTGTTGGCTCTCACGCTGGCCAATAGAATCTTCCTGCCTATTCGTGGCAGCCAGCTATAGGCTCTCACTCTGGCCAGTAGAAAATGGCCGCAAACTACATGAAAACTGCCATAGAAGCATGAAAAAATCGATTATTTCCACTATCGATGGGATATTGATTTCTAAATGCATAATTATGCACATAAGTTTGAACTTCGAACCCTACCGGGTGCTCCATGCTTTCGGCCTTGTGCCACATCGGATATTTTGTGTTAATTCACCACAAATAATGTTAGTTATCGCAAATATCAATTCACCCAAAGAAGATATAAATTTTAAATCGGAGTTTTTTTTATTATTAAATTTTAGATAATAAATTTTAAATCAGAATTTGTTTAATCTGCCTTGCAAACAACTTCAACACTCAGAACGAAAAGTTACCAAAAAAACAGGGAGTTATTTACATTTCGTAAGAGCGGATGATATTCGAGGTACTTGCAAAATTTTTTTACAATTTACAATTGGGCTGAGCACGTACGTAGTCCCCACAGTTAGAAAGTCGGTTTAATGTGGGGATCCCGAGCGCGTACACCCGGACAAGGAACAAAAATTCCCTGAGCCGTCGGCTGCCCTGGCCCCGTTGCGTGCCCCGATCCTTCTCTCTAGTGTAATGAGAAGGCGCGGTCTCAGCCTGCTGTTCCTGAGGGCTGGCACCTCTCAGTATAAGTTTCCTCAGTTTCGACTCTGTCTTTTGACGGAGTCGCTCCTGAGTGCACTCTGCTCAAAGACAGAGACGCAACTGAGAGATGATAAGTAATGCGTTAGAAACTCCTCCAAGGAGGAATTTGCGCGCTTTGTAAATTCTTTTTATTTTAGGGTAAGTTTATATTTTGAATCGAATTAACAGAGCACATCCGACTCACCTCATCCACGCTATAAGTCTGAACTTAAAACTCCAACTGAAACAAAACTAATTATTTTATAGAAGCATTTCGTAATCTTTTTTTAAAGACACATTTTTAATATTTAGCAGTGATTGTTTGGAGCAAAATCCTGCAAACTACTAAAGTCCGATGGCGTCTGCGGTCTGACCTGGCGACAGCCGTTTGGCTGTTCTCGCCACAGCTTATTTCCGGTGATTGGAGCTGCTTTAATGCAAATAAAACGGAAACATGTGACATTAAATCTGTTGCATTAACACTGCCCCGTTTGCCAACGCAATTTTAAATCAGAGGGGGCCAGCCAGCGTCAATATCTGAAAAGGGAATGGAAAGGTTGAGAACCATTCTTATACAGGGTCATGTGTATACCTCAATCTCTCCCTTACTCTCTCTCTCTCTCTCTCTCTCTCTCTCTCTATATATATATATATATATATATATATATCTTCATATCTATATCTATATATATCTATATATATATATATATACATATATATATATATATATTGTAAAATAGAAGGCACCAGTTCGCGTTAATGTCTGAAGCACCACTAGATTTATAGGAACTTTTAAAACATAAACAACAACTATAAAAATATTATAAGTGAATAAATCAATTTATTTGACGTTTAGGTAGAGAAAATGACCTTGTTTGTCTATCCACAAGAGCTTGTTAATTATCTATCTATCTATCTATCTGGCCAGATTGCTAAAGGCACCTTTCGGTTACAGAAGCGATTTCCCTGATGAAAAAGAGGATGCAAGTTCGATTGCTGTCGGAAACAAAATTTTTCTTAACTAAGACTTCTCAATCTAAGCCGGTTGTAATTAATTTCACTGTTTAAGAGAATAATAATAATTAAAAAAAAACCGATAGCAGCCCAAACACCAGAGTCCACACTAAAAATTAAGTTTCTAACAATAAGATAAAATTTTTCTTTCTTTCTTTCTTTCTTTCTTTCTTTCTTTCTTTCTTTCTTGATCTATCTATCTATCTATCTATCTATCTATCTATCTATCTATCTATCTATCTATCTATCCCAGTTTGTTCATTATCTATCTATCTATACCAGTCTGTTCATTATCTATCTATCTATCTATCTATCTATCTATCTATCTATCTATCTATCCCAATCTGTTCATTATCTATCTATCTATCTATCATATCTATCTATCTATCTATCCTATCTGTTCATTATCCATCCATCATCTATCCATCCATCTATCTATCTATCCATCCATCCATCTATCTATCTCAGTCTGTTCATTATCTCCATTCATCTATCCATCTATCTATCTATCTATCTATCTATCTCAGTCTCATTATCTTCATCTATCTATTATCTATCTATCTATCTATTCATCTATCTATTCATCTATCCCAGTCTGTTCATTATATATCCATCCATCTATCTATCTATTCATTCATTATCTATCTATCTATCTATCTATCTATCTATCTATCTATTATTAAGCTGTTAACATATTTTTCTTACCCAGGTATTTATATTGTTGTATTTATGGTATAGAGTTTGGCTTTAAACTTAAGATGACTACCCATATAAATATGTATGAATATTCGTTGCCTCGCCGTGGCGTAGAGGTTAGCAAACTTATCTTGCAGACCATGACTAATGTAAACTTGATTCGGTGCGCGATCCCTGTACCCTCGTTGAGATGAAAAGAAGATCAGTAAATATGGCGCCATACTTTTTAGCAAATTAGTAGACCAAAACGAATTAAACGAGTTTGTTTCTCACAGGGTCCCATGAAACTGAGATTTTGTGCTTAAACATAGGTTTTTTTTTTATATATATCTAGAAAGAAACCTGGCTGTGGCGCAATGGTTAGCAATACGACACGAGTAAATAATTCCTGATAGAGTTCGATCTTCTCTGTTGACTCTATATTTCTTCTTCTATCCATGTCCCTTCAAGAGGTTGGCGATCATGACTCTCCACAATTTCCTGTCCTTTGTTGCTTTTAATAAATTTTATCTTTTTGTTATCTCTCCTAAATCCTGTTCCGCCATCCACTTGCTCCAGCTCGGTAGGTAGGCCATGCGTTGTTTTTCACTGTCCCTCTTGCCTTGGAAGAGACAGTTGAAATTTCTAGGGTACATAATGAGGAAAGACAGCTTGGAGAATCTGATACTCACAGGACAGATTAAAGGCAAGAGAGAGAGAGAGAGAGAGAGAGAGTGGGGGGAAGACAATGTATTACCTATCTAGTGAGCTTGAGTAAACTGGATGGAATGAATGGAACAGGTTTTAGGAGGGATAACAAAAAGACAGAAGTTATTAAGTGCTACAAAGGACAGGAAGTTGTGGAGAGCCATGATCACCTACGAACAGAAGCTACACGGAACATAAAGAAGTAAAAGAAGAGGGTTTGTTCCGAGGCTTTTTAAAAATGGTTAAGCATTATCATTATTATTAAATTTTATTTATTATATAAATTATTTGATACCTGGGTAAGAAAATATGTTAACAGGTTAATAGATAGATAGATAGATAGATAGATAGATAGATAGATCATGAATAGACTAGGATAGATAGATAGATAGATAGATAGATAGATAACAGACTGGAATAGATAGATAGATAGATAGATAGATAGATAGATAGATAGATAGATAGATAGATCTGCGTATCTTATGTGGTTAAGATTGTGTCCGCCGATGTTGAATCCCAGTTGGATTTCCAATTCTCTCAGGTATTTCCTAATGAACACTCATCTCAGTAGTGACCAGTCTCGACATTGCTTAACTTCGCTGATCGTACGGAAAACGGTGTTTCGACGTGATGTGACTGTAAGCCCTTTTAAAGATGGCGACTTGTCCCTTGAAATAAGACCATAAAATGGACAGCCACCAGTTACTGGTATGGTTCTTTAAAATCCAAGATAGAAATGAAGCTGCCTGCTACAACTTTCAGTATAGTTATAATCTGTCCGCGCAGAATACTTCTTTCTATGTGCCGTGTCATGCGATCATGGCTCCCCCACCACCCTCTATCCCTTACAGCTCTCAACAAGTTCCTTTTCTCTGCTTCCTACCCCAGACCACGTTCTATCATCCACTTGTTTAAGGCCGTTAGTTATGTCATGCGTTGTTTTCCCTTGTCTCTGTTTGCCTCTATTCGACTCGTGAGTATCAGATTCTCCAGGTCCTCCTTTCTCATTACGTGTCCTAGAAACTTCAGGTACCTCTTCCTAGTGTTAAGTATAAGCCTCCTCCTTGTTTGCGTCCTCTCCAAGACCTCGTCGTTGCTCACACGTTCGATCCATAATATCCTCAGCATCCTTCAGTAGAACCACATCTCCGTCGCCTCGAGAATCTATCCGCGCAGAATATTACATAAGCTTAAAAAAACATGGCTCTCCACCTCCCTGTATCCCTTGCAGCTCTCAACAAGTTTCTTTCCTCAGCCACCTCCCCCCAGACCACGTTCTGTCATCCACTTGCTTAAGGCCGCTAGGTATGTCATGCGTTGCTTTTCCTTGTCTCTTTTCACCTTTATTCGACCTGTGAGTATCAGATTCTCCAGGCCTTCCTTTCTCATTACGTGTCCTAGAAACTTCAGCTACCTTTTCCTAGTGTTAAGTATAAGCCTCCTCCTTGTTTGCGTCATCTTCAAGACCTCGTCTTTGCTCACACGTTCGGTCCATAATATCCTCAGCATCCTTCAGTAGAACCACATTTCCGTCGTCTCGAGAATCTATCCGCGCAGAATATTACATAAGCTTAAAAAAAAAAAACACGGAGAAAAAAAAAAATGAAGAGAGGTGATTAGAAAGGAAAATAATTCTCATACGCCCGAATAAATACTGAGCAGGGGGGCGAGACGTCAAGGGGTTAAAATACGTGACCGACATGGAGATACAAAATTATGCTATGAAGTTAATAAACTGATGACCTACTTGTGTCGGCGGCCATGAAAAAGAAAGAAAGAAAGAAAGAAAGAAAGAAAGAAAGAAAGAAAGAGAAAAGAACAAAGAACTAAAGGGAGAGGGTAAATAAGTTTTGTCTTCCATGTTTTCGTTTAGTGACTCTGAAAAGATGCTTATTAAAACTCTATCAAAGCATTACAAGCAGCTGAAAGAAAACAAAATGTCGGAGTTATTCGCTTCAGACTTTGTGGCTAATTCTAAAAGAATGCACAATTATACAATGATAAAAAAGAAAATAATAAAACAAAACAGGGTCAAACCTATTTGCTTATTAATGCATTTACTACTCATTGGTAGGCTGTTCGGAAAGTAATGTCGTCTCACATCGTTCAGCGAGAAATCTCCGGCAAGAACCTTCGCAAACCACGCGTTCGATCATTGATATTAATTGATTCGTTTTCTACGGTTTATCAACCCTTTGCAGGTTATTTAAAGCCAGAAAATATTTTCAGATGATAAGATTTTTTTTTTTTTAGATAATAATGATTTAACGATACAGGTTTTGCTAATTAACCCATTGCTAGGGGTAAATTCATACCTAATCAAATGTGGGTATAAACTGGGGGTCAATTCTATATTAAAATCAATATATAAATGCTCCCTCACTTTGTGGCCAAAGCAGTTTCTACATATATATATATATATATATATATATATATATATATATATATATATATATATACCAGAGAATGTAAATAAATCTAAAAGACATGCCTGTATAGCTAATCAATATTTGATCGGTTGATTGATTCGTTGTTCGTTATCACCCCCCCCCGCCTTTTCTTAAATCGGTACAACGCCATGCAAGGGAGTAAAGCCACAAAGACACAAGGTGTTACACAGTGTGAAAGAATTAGGAACAGAAACATTACCAATGAACGGGAGAAGAGAAATTCAGAAGGACAGTAGATAGCGATTGATATTGCATTTAAATTTTTACAGATTAAAGTTGGCTGGGAGGCATAGAGCTGGAAGGGAGTTCCACAATCGAGAA